AGAAAAGAATGTGATTGTATATGGGAAGAGTTTGATCTGGAGTGCTAAATGCCAGGGGAAAGTTTGGGTTTTCTTGCTCAATCCAGGAGTTTTTCTGATGCGTGTTTAGCTTTGAGATATGGGGGAGGGGGGGTGAGCAGGGGCAGATGAGCTGGCTGAAATCGTAAGCAAAATATTGTTTGTGCTGTGTGTTTCTAGTGCAGTCCTTCCTTAGCCCCAGCACAGCAAGTGTAAAACCATTTCTAAATGCATCAGGAAGCCACAAGAGAGTTTTAAACAAGGGAGGGAGTGGATTGGGTTTGTGTGGCCGGTGGTGGAGGATAGGCTAAAGGGGCCAGCCTGGGGACCAGTGAGGCCTGCAGGGGAGGGAACAGGGCAGTTGCTCAGGTAAGACATGGTAGGGTCTGAATTAAGTCAGAGGGTTGAGTCTGAGGGAGTGAGCATGGGGGACAGGTCGGGTGAAGGGGTAGAATCCCTGAACTTGGGCGCCAGGTGGATATTGACGACCTGATGGCATGATGAGCAGGGGAGGAAGACACCTCAGATCAGATGATGCTTTGGCTTGGATGACTGTGAGCCGAGGGCTGCTTTCCCTTTCTGCGGGGGGCCACTTCCACCCTTCCCGCACTGGTGGTCAAAAATAGGGGCCACTTGAAAGTTGGTGCCATTATAGGGAAGGAGAGTGTGCTTATAGCCCAGGAAGATTGAGGCCAGGAAGTGCTTTCTGGGGGCGATGATAGCTTGGCTACTTCTGAAGGGTGTGTCGGGGTTGGCCAGGTGAAAACGAAGAGAGAAAAGTGTTTCAGGCTGAGGAAGGAGCCCTTGGAGGGAATGAGGAACCCAGAGCTTAAGGTGGCTAAAGTCCAGAGTAGGAGGGCTTCTTGGAGTGGCTAGAGGTGAGCGTGCAGAGTCGGGGGCTTGCCTTGGGGAGGATTTGAGGACCCTGCTTGTGAGGGAGTTAGGACTGCATCCTGGAAGCGTGGGAGAGACGCATGAAGGGTTTTGGTCCGTGTTCTGAGGCTGGGTTAGCCACAGCACAGCCAGCCCTGCACCCCGCTCCTTGAAGTCTGGGCTTCACCTCCTGTAGAATGGAGCTTTTCTAACTGTGGTGAAGGACCAGTTTTTGGGTTTTGTTTTTTTAAGTTTCTAACCTGTCCTGGACCTAAACTTTTGCAAAGCACAGTAATAATGTGGACCGTGAACCATCACATTGCTAGAAAGGTTTGGAAATGCTCCCTTGCTGGTTCCGTAACCATCTGTCACCTCTGGGTAGCCCAGAGACCACTCCTTAAGTGGCAGTACCGTGAATGCCTTGTTGAAAAGAGGTAGAGGGGTGGGACGTGACGCAGGAAGACTGGTTCTGGGGTGACGTGGGTGACTGGAGCTGTGGTGTTGGCAGCAGTGACACAGACTGATTGGAGCATGGTCTAGGAGGTTGCCTTCACACCTTTTGGCTGACAGTGGGAGGCACATGCACCTTCTGGCCAGGATTTCTGGGTGGATGGTGGTGCCAGCTATGGTATGGGGAGCACAGAAGGGGACATCGGTGCATGGGGCAAGAGGAAGCACAGGCCCTGTGGAAACCCAGCGGGCCAAAGTTTGCAGAATCTGGAATGGAGATGATGGATTTAGGAATCATGCCGTGCAGATGGCAACTGCAGCTGCAGGAGTGAATAGCTCATATTCCCCTGGGGGTTGCATAGAGCGTAGGATGGGCTCGGAACACAGGCTTTGCACCCCGACATCTAAGGGTCCGACAGGAGAGAGGTTGGTAAAGGAGGAGGAGGAGGAAGGGACTGAGATGGAGGCCAATGGAGACAAGGTCCGGCGACAGGCCCTTGGGGCTGAGTGAGGGTGTGCTCAGCTGCCTGGGACAGGGAGTGGCAGGCAAGTGCCAGGCTGAGATAAAGGGGAGGTAAAGATCTAGAGTGAGTCTTGGCTGAGAAGTTGTTTAGAGAGGGTCGTGGGGTGAAGGGAGAGGTTTCAACCCAGAATATTCTCATGTGCGTGTGTGTGTGTGTTTGAGACGGAGTCTCTCACTCTGTCACCCAGGCTGAAGTACAGTGGCGCCATCTGAGCTCACTGCAACCTCCACCTCCTGGGCTCAAGTGATTCTCTTGCCTCAGCCTCTCAAGTAGCTGGGATTACTGGCACCCACCACCACACCTGCCTAATTTTTTGCATTGTTAGTATAGAGACAGGGTTTCGCCATGTTGGCCAAACTGGTCTTGAACTCCTGATCTCAGGTGATCCACCCGCCTCAGCCTCCCAAAGTGCTGGGATTACAGGCGTGAGCCATGGTGCCTGGTAAAAGGCCTGTAAAGAGGGAGGAGTTGGAGAAATGAGACAGAGAAGAAATGTCCTGAAGCAGTGTCCCCGGGGCAATGGGTGGGGTGGGATTCAGTGCGGAAGTCAGGGGTTGGGCCTGGTGCAGTAGCTCATGCCTGCAATCCCAGCACTTTGGGAGGCCAAGGTGGGTGGATCACGAGCTCAGGAGGAGTTTGAGACCAGCCTGGCCAACACAGGCCCAGCTAATTTTTGTATTTTTAGTAGAGATGGGGTTTCATGGTGGCACAGTCTCCTCTTGGGAGGCTGAGGCAGGAGAATCGCTTGAACCCAGGAGGCAGAGGTGGCAGTGAGCTGAGATCGAGCCACTGCACTCCAGCCTGGGTGACAGAGCGAGACTCTGTCTCAAAAAAAAAAAAAAAAAAATCGGGTCATCCTGTAGGGTGCCCATGGGTGCACAAACTGGACGGCACAGCCCTAAGACTTGACTTGAGCACCCAGTGAGGGGCTGTGGGTGACACCTTCCACCCCCTGCCCCACCTCCCTTATCTTTGGCTTTGTTCAAGAGGCTCAGGAGGGCTCCAGGGGTACATGGTCACATTCAGACCAGGCAGCCCCAAGACAGAGAGGGAGACAGGGCATCTTGTCCAGGGCTTCCTTATGAGGAGGGTCCCTTCCTTAGAGACCTCACCACCCACCCCATCTGGCTGGAGTTGGGATCTGCACCCACCCTGACCCAGGTTCCTGCTGGCAGAATGGGTGTCTCTCACTGCTGCCTCCAACTGGATGCACCCTTGAATGCTGGGGGGGGTCTCTGTCCCCAAGGGCTACAGAAGCAAAGAGAGTCAGTAGAAGGGCCAGACGCGGTGGCGCATGCCTGTGGTCGCAGCTACTTGGGAAGCTGAGGTGGGAGGATCGCTTGAGCCTAGGAGCTCTCGGCTGTATGACGCTATGCCGATCAGGTGTCTGCACTAAGTTTGGCATCAATATGGTGACCTCCCCGGAGCAGGGGACCACCAGGTTGCCTAAGGAGGGGTGAACCAGCCCAGGTCAGAAACAGAGCAGGTCAGAACTCCCATGCTGATCAGTAGTGGAATCACACCTGTGAATAGCCACCGCACTCCAGCGTGGGCAACGTAGCGAGACCCCGTCTCCTTAAAAAAAAAAAAAAAAAGAATCAGTAGAAGCAGGGCGGGGCAGGTGTGGGGGGTGGGACGCAACGTTCACTTGGGGTGCAGCTTCTTTGCTTTCTGGCCGATGTGCAGAGGCCTGGTGGCTACGATGTCGTGACAGTCAGTGGGTGGATTGGGGGACAGTGGCAGAGGTCAGCAAGTGGCCAAGGCGGTTGCTGAGGCTGGGGCTCAGCATCAGGTGGGGCCTTGGTGGGTGAGGAGGTGGGCAGGCTCAGGCTTAGCTTGCACTGGAAGGACACTGGGGAAGGACTGGACGGTGCTGGCAAAAGAGGGGCAAAGGGACTTCCTAGGTTCCCCGAGGAGGGGACAACCCAAAGGTGGAAGGCCAGGGCTGGGGTCCTGTGAGGGGGAGGCAGGGCCTAAGAGAGAGGAGCTGGGCCTGCGTGGGCACCTGGCTGTGCACAAGCCCTCGTGGATGGTGAGTCCTGTGGAGGGGGAGGCCCCTGTGGCTGAGGTGGCCAAGGGGACACCTGGACCCCCATCCATGTCCTCATGGGGGCCCCCTCCTCCTCTCCCTCCAGTCATCTGCAAGCAGCAGACCCCGGAGCTGGAGCCAGCTGCCACCATGCCGCCCCTGCCGCAGCCCCCGCTGGCCCCTGCTGCGCCCATCCCGCCCGCCCAGGGCGCACCGTCCATGGACGAGCTCATCCAGCAGAGCCAGTGGAACCTCCAGCAGCAGGAGCAGCACCTGCTGGCGCTGAGACAGGTACAGGCCTGCCCCCCACTCAGCCAGGCACCCGCCGCTCCCCCGTGCCTCTCTTTTTACGTGTGCCCATGGGAATGAATAACAGGTGCCACTGAGGATGGGGCCTGCCTGGCCACGCAGGGTTAGGTGCATGCCAGCCACTGTCACCCCCAGCCCTGACACCAGACACGGAGGCTGTTTCTCATCTCAGTGAAGTGACTGGACCTCCATGCACCCATCACCCTGGGGTGGGTGCCTCTGTGTGGGTCTGTCGGTCATATGCGCACCTTGAAGCTCCCTGACAGCTTCGGCCAAATGGCCTCCAGTGCCTGCGATTGGCCCCACCACACAGTAGCTAGGTCATCACCTGGAGTTGTTGGTTGGGGAAGGACCTTTTTTTTTTTTTTTTTTTTTTTATGGAGTCTTGTTCTGTCACCCAGGCTAGAGTGCAGTGGCGCCGTCTCAGCTCACTGCAGCCTCCGTCTCGTGGGTTCAAACAGTTCTCCTGCCTCAGCCTCCTGAGTAGCTGGGATTACAGGTGTGCGCTACCACACTTGACTAATTTTTCTATTTTTAGCAGATGTGGGTCTTCACCATGTTGGCCAGGCTGGTCTCAAACTCCTGACCTCAGGTGATCCACCCAGCCAGAAAGACCCTTTTTTCCTTGTTCAGCAGTTCAGTAATTTTTGCCAAATAGAATACAGGTGCATTGGCTGGGCATGGTGGCTCACACTTTTAATCCCAGCAGTTTCAGAGGCCAAGGCAGGCGGATCACCTGAGGTCAGGAGTTCGAGACCAGCTTGGCCAACATGGCAAAACCCCGTCTCTACTAAAAATACAAAAATTAGCTGGGTGTGATGGCACATGCCTGTAATCCCAGCTACCTGGGAGACTGAGGCTGGAGAACTGCTTGAACTCAGAGGCAGAGGTTGCAGTGAGCTGAGATCGCACTACTGCACTCCAGCCTGGGTGACAAAGCAAGACTCAGTCTTGGGGGAAAAAACATAGTAAACCTCCAAAGTGCCAGCCCTGCACTTAGTACTAGGTTCAGGGCGTAAAGTCACACTGACATATTGCTCTTAGTAAGTTCCAGCTGGGCGAAGTGGCTCACACCTGTAATGCCAGCACTTTGGGAGACTGAGGTGGGTGAATCACAAGTTCAGGAGTTCAACACCAGCCTGGCCAATATGGTGAAACCCCATCTCTACTAAAAGTACAAAAATTAGCCGGATGCAGTGGTAGGTGCCTGTAGTCCCAGCTACCTTGGAGGCTAAGTCAGGAGAATTGCTTGAACCCAGGAGGTAGAGGTTACAGAGAGCCGAGATTGTGCCTCTGCACTCCAGGCTAAGTGACAGAGTAACACTCCATCTCAGAAGAAGAAAAAAAAGAAAGTTCCAGAATGCTCACCCTCAGCTTCTGCCCAGAGCTCATCATGGACTAGGAGGTTGGTCTTGACCAGCCCTCAACTTAACCACTGGTACTCACAGCAGCTCCATTTTTACCAGTCACACTTGAACCTGCATTTCCCCGTGAGGTATGAGATTGCCCCTTCTTGCTTCACTAGAGGCCATGGGTGTGTCCTCTCTACTGCCTGTTCACACCATCCCTCATTTTTCTTGTTTTCTTTTGCTAGAGACAAGGTCTTGCTCTCACTCAGGCTGGAGTGCAGTAGCACAATTACAGCTCACTGTAACCTTGAACTCCTGGGCTCCAGTGATCCTCTCACCTCAGCCTCCCAAGTAGTTGGGAACACAGGCACATACTACCATGCTGGACTAATTCGTATTATTATTTTTTATAGAGCTAAGGTCTCGCTACGTTGCCCAGCTGGTCTGGAACTCCTGGGCTGAAGCGGTCCTCCCACCTCAGCCTCCTAACATGCTGGGATTCCAGGCGTGAGCCACCGCGCCTGCCTTTCTGTTTTTTGTTGAGTTGCTTTGCAGAGGTGGGTTGTTCCTCTGGGCTGCAGTGCTTTCCTCGGTTGTCTGGAGAGCAGGCATTGTCTCCTGGTGTGTCCTGGCAGTGGCCTGCCTACTCCAGGAGGGGCTGTCACAGATTCACGCGGGCATGAGAGAGAGAATCTCCTCGTGCTGGGGACAAGCAAGGGAGCCATTGGCCAGTGTGGCCCAGGGTACGGGCATCCCCACCATGTCCCCGTCCTGCCCCTGCTGGGCCAGGCAAGGAGGCTCAGGCTATGGACCCATCGTCTTGTGCTCTCGGCCCTACTGACCCCCCCAGGAGCAAGTGACAGCAGCCGTGGCCCACGCGGTGGAGCAGCAGATGCAGAAGCTCCTGGAGGAGACCCAGCTGGACATGAACGAGTTTGACAACCTGCTGCAGCCCATCATCGACACGTGCACCAAGGACGCCATCTCGGTGAGGGGCCGGGGGGTTCCAAAGCCCTGCACGCCAATGGTCCCGCCCTGAGGCAGGGCACCCCGAAGCCAGTCCGGGCTAAGGGCTGCTCCAATGGGTACCTTTCCCTCCCGCCTTGAGCACCTCCTGAGGCTTTGGGACCCTGTGCCCCCCACCTTCACGGTGTGCCCTTCCCTGGGCTGATGGTGATGCACTTGGGTCCAGTGGGTGCCTGGGGGAGCCGTAGCCCTGCTCACATGTCGGCTCGGTTGTTGCAGGCTGGGAAGAACTGGATGTTCAGCAATGCCAAGTCCCCGCCACACTGCGAGCTGATGGCCGGCCACCTCCGGAACCGCATCACAGCTGACGGGGCGCACTTCGAGCTGCGGCTGCACCTCATCTACCTGATCAACGACGTGCTGCACCACTGGTGAGCACCGCCGCCCCGTGCCCAGAGCGCCGCTTCCTTGCGCTCCTCCTTGCCCTCATCTGGGTGGCTGCTTGCTCCAATCAGTAGCTTGGCTTGGCCTGTCCGGAGACTGGGGGGCACTTGTCCAGAGAGGCCAGGTAGGGTCTCTGAGCCACCAGGCTCTGTCTGCAGGACTCAGTTGGTCTAGGCATCCCATGCACTTTGGCCACATGCCCTGTCCTCTCCTCTAGGCACCATCCTCACTTGTCACATTACTGTCTCTTCAAGGCCACTGTTCCTGTGCCCCTTGCTCTCCTGGAGCAGCTTCTTGGCATCTGCTTGTTGCCTTCTCGGCCACGGCCTTCTTAGCCTGTCTCTGGCCCCCGTCACTGATTTGCACGCGCGCACACACACGGTCACCTGACTTTGCTCAGCCATCAGGACCCTCCTGTGGGGTCCCCATCTCCAGCCCTGACTCAGGCCTCAATGGAGCCACCTCTACTGACCCTCTGTCCCCACCCAGCCCCCACCCCTTCCTACTGTTGCTGTCTCCACCCTCCCCCAGGCTGGGCAGGTGTTTCTTCTGCAGGGCCACTGGGGCCCTTCTCACAAAGGTTAGCACAAAGAAAAAAAAATGGAAGCCCAGGCCAAAGGCCCGTGCAAGAGGAGACAAGCATTGCTAGTGAGCCTAACGGGGAGCATTCTTGGCTGGGTACCTCGTGTGCCTCTGCATTGGGCCAGGCTGCCAGGTGGCTTGGTTAGGGACACGGTTCCCAGCTTCGTCTTCCCTGAGCACCCATCTTGCCCCATCTACCACATGCAGCACTGCCCAGGTGCCTCTTCACTCCCCGCCTCGGTCCCTATTTCTCTCCTGCTGCAAAGTGAGTTGTGGCTCCGTACCGCCTCTGCCCTTCTGCCCCTTCTCATGCCTCCGCTTCTCCCTGCCTCTGAGTCGGGCGCCTGGCACAGATGCGAAATTTCTCACATTCTCCAGCCAAGTGCTTCTCTAGCTCCACTCTGTCTGAAACCAAGTGCTGCTCACCTGTCCTCCCAGCTGCCCAGCCCAGGCCCGTGCTCCCTGAGCTCCCTGCAGCCAGCTGGGGGTTTAGGGGCTTCCAGCTGCTCCCCTCCTGTCCCGCATCCCTCCCTGGGGGCATCCATCTCCCTGCACAGCTGCAAGGACCTCACAGGCCGGGTATGCACAGTGGCTCTGAGAGGACATGGGTCTGGTGCCTTGCCTGTAGGGCATCCACCCACTTTTCTAAAGCGTTCTAGGTGCCTGAGGGACTGGGCACCCTCCCTCCTCCTCCTGAGAGGCCTGGCCTGGACCAAGGTTTCCTTGTGCCTAGCAAATAATGAGAAGACCCCAACTCCGCAGCAGCCCCTTCCCACCCATTGCACACAGGCAGGGGCTCTCTCGGGCCCCAAGTCCCTTCATCCACAGCGCCACCCATGAGGGAAGGAGGGAAGGTTATTTCCTAACAAGGGGACAGAACTGAAAGGCTTTGCTCGCAATGGCCCCAAGCCACATTTTCCCCCTCCCTCGCTTGCTGTTTCTCTGTCTGTCCCTTCCTTGAGCCCAGGCACCAGCACAGCTCTCGTGGGAGCCCAGGCATCGCCCCCGCCGGGTTGGGGGCCCGATTCCCGAGAAGGCAGAGGGCGCTGAGGCTGGAGCCGTGATGGTAACGGGCGCGTGGCCGGGTCCCGCCCCAGGGCCCTGACGCGCGGAAAGTCTCTCCCTCACAGCCAGCGCAAGCAGGCCCGGGAGCTGCTGGCCGCCCTGCAGAAGGTCGTAGTGCCCATCTACTGCACCAGCTTCCTGGCCGTGGAGGAAGACAAGCAGCAGAAGATAGCCCGGGTGCGTGGGCCCTGGGCCGGGGGGTGGATGGATGGGACATGCAGGCCTCCCTCTTCCCCGCTGACCCAGCCTCTCCCCCTCCCACCCTCAGCTCCTGCAGCTCTGGGAGAAAAATGGCTACTTCGATGACTCCATCATTCAGCAGCTACAGAGCCCAGCCCTGGGGCTTGGCCAGTACCAGGTGAGTGTCATCTGCCCGCCTACGCCTCACCCTAGAGCTGGGGAAGGTGCCCCAGGAGGGCTTGCGAGTGTGGGGACAGCAGCTGCCACCCCAGCAGGTCCCAGAAGCCAGAAAGCCTGTGTCCCCTGCCTGTGCTGGGAGTAGCCAGTGGGTGGTGACCAGAGTCCCAGGTGACATTTCCCAGCCCCATGCCTTAGGTGTGTCTCCCTGACTTTGCCGGCCCTTTTCGGAGTCACTGCACATGGCCCATTTGCTCTGGTGGTCAGCATGTTCCTGCGTGATGGAAGCGTGGGGAAGCCCAGGAGTGGCTTAGGCTGCAGCAGCCCCTCTTGCTGAGAGCCGCATGGCGAGTGGGAGGCAGACCTATGAGTGTGTTCTAGAACGTTGATGGGTGGCATGTGCTGAGCGGCCACGTGGCGGCCAGGACACGGCTGTCATTACCTGTTCGGGTTATCAGGGAGTCATAAACCATGTTGCAGCGAATATCCTCGTCCCCAAATCTGGCCAGATCCCAGCACACACTGTGATTGTCCCGACTGTGTTGGTTGTTTCGTGCAGCAGTTCCCTGTCCACCTGCCCCAGGTCCCCCAGGCTCTGCTGCCTTCCAGGCATTCGTCCTCTGGTGCCAGGTAGCGAGCCCCAAGGCTGCGTCCTGAGCAGCAGGTACTCTTCTCTCTCCCAGGCCACCCTCATCAACGAGTACTCGTCAGTGGTCCAGCCAGTACAGCTGGCATTCCAGCAGCAGATCCAGACCCTGAAGACTCAGCACGAGGAGTTCGTCACCAGCCTGGCGCAGCAGCAGCAGCAGCAGCAGCAGCAACAGCAGCAACTCCAGATGCCGCAGATGGAGGCTGAAGTCAAGGCCACGCCCCCGCCGCCGGCCCCGCCCCCCGCCCCAGCACCTGCCCCTGCCATCCCGCCTACCACCCAGCCTGGTACGGGACTCCCTCAGTCCGCAGCCCCCAGAGGCTGGGCTCTGAGTGTAGTCAGAAAGCACCCGGCCACCCTCCATCATGCCCGCCTGTTCCTAGGTGGAGGCTTTCATCCATTTACAAGCACTAGCCAGGTGACTTTAGAGTAAAACTCAAAGTGCCCCATTCCTGAACAGCAGAAGATCTGTTTCCTGTTCCCAGAGCACAGAGTAGAGAAAAGGTACCCAGATCATTCACAAGACTAGGGTAACTATTGTGTCAGACAGCAGGGACAGTGCACGGATTGAAAATACAATTGGCCGGGTGCAGTGGCTCACACTTGTAATCCCAGCACTTTGGGAGGCCGAGGCAGGCAGATTGTTTGAGCCTAGGAGTTTGAGACCAGCCTGGGAAACATGGAGAGACCCCCGTCTCTACTGAAAATACAAAAATGGTGCTCACCTGTCATCCCAGCTACTTGGAGGGTAAGGTGGGAGGATCCCTTGAGCCAATGAAATCAGGCTGCAGTAAGCACTGTACTCCAGCCTGGGTGACAAAGCAAGACTCTGTCTCAAAAAGAAAATATAATTTAGTGTTACTTCTAAAAAAGACACGGAAATATGAAGAAAATCTTAGCAAATCTAGCAAAGGATTTTTTTTTTTTTTTAAGACAGTGTTGCCCAGTCTGGACACAATCTCGGCTCACTGCAACCTCTGCCTCCCAGGTTTAAGCGATGCTCCTGCCTCAGCCTCCTGAGTAGCTGGGATTACAGGCGCCTACCAGCACACCTGGCTAATTTTTTGTATTTTCAATAGAGTCGTGTTCAACATGTTAACCAGGCTGGTCTTGAACTCCCAACTTTATGATGCGCCTGCTTCAGCCTCCCAAAGTGCTGGGATTACAGGCGTGAGCCACTGTGCCCGGCTGTTGATTTTCAAATTAAATTCTGACCGAGGAAGATTTGTTCCAGGAATATGAGGATGGTATAGGATAGAAAGCCTAGTAACAGATTGTGGGGAAATGACCTTTTCATTAGATACAGAAAAGATGTTTAATCAGATTCAGTGTAGATAGAAATTCCTCAGCACACAAGCAGGCAAAAGTAGGCATGTTTATGGTAAAGCTGTGAAAGGGGGACATGCGTGTCATGTTTTAAGGTCAGAACCTCCCCTCTCCCCATCCCCTTCCTGGAGGCCAGTGAGGGTCACGGTTTTAGTGGGGTCCTGAAGCGATAATTCACTGCCTACTGAAAGCTGAAGCCTGATTGGCTCTGGGACAGTGTGGAAAGAAGACAGCCTCTCCTGCTGCTGCCAGGCTTGCTCTAACTGCCTATCACCTGATTTAGATGACAGCAAGCCTCCCATCCAGATGCCTGGCTCTTCAGAGTATGAAGCCTCAGGAGGGGTCCAGGATCCTGCAGCCGCCGGCCCCCGGGGCCCTGGGCCACACGACCAGATCCCACCAAACAAGCCCCCTTGGTTTGACCAGCCTCACCCTGTGGCTCCTTGGGGCCAGCAGCAGGTATTGATTGGAACCTGGGGTGGGAGCAGATGGGGCACACTTGGCCTGACGGGGTGGCCTCCTCATCGGTGGCCATTCAGTGGCTCTCTGGGGAACCCAAGGGATATTCTGTGGCGGAGCTTATGCTGGGTTAGTGACAGATAGCCCTGTCTTCTGTGGCTCCGGGACAGGTGGAGTGACAGGTCTTCACATCTCTTCCCTGAGCTTTGGTGACTTGGGTTCTCTGTAGTATAGATCTCTCTTTTCCTGCAAGTGCAGGGGAGTGAGGTACGGCAGATGTTATGTTTCCTGTCCTTGAACAGGTTCAGCTAGCTGAGTGTCAGCGTTTTGTCATCCTGGAAAGAACAAGGTGCTTTTGTAAGGAAAGGAGAGGTCAGAAGTGTCGGGTACCTGGCTCCGGGGAGGCCTCAGATGTAGCATTGCTTGGGGTCAGATACCCCTGGGCCGAGGCGCAGCATGGCTGGAAAACGCCCTGGAGCGTGCTGAGTCTACTTAGAGCACTGAGGCACAGCCCCAGGCCTTCCCAGCGCCGCTTTCCCGCTTGACCGTGGGGCCTGGTTGGCTTTGTAGTGTGGCCTTCCCGGTGAGGGAGGACCCTCCTGTCTTTAAGACTCTAGAGCAGGAGCTGGTGAGGGAGGACTCCCTGTCCACAGGGACAGGGGTAAGAATGGCAAGGAGACTGGCTCTGGGCTGAAACTTGGTGGTTGTGGCTTTGAGCCTTCCCAGCCCCAGCTTCAGGACATGAAATTGAACTTCACAAAAGACGGTACACCCCCATAAACACAGCATCCACCTCCAAGTGCTGGCTGGGAGCCAGATGGTGGTAACCGTTTTTCGGGTACCCTCTGCTGGGGGAGCAGTTCCTGTGCCTGTTGAATCAGAGGCCCTTGGTGTCCCCAGGCTCACTCTTCTTTTCACAGACCAGATGGTTGGGCTCAGGACAGTGGGCACGCCACTCACTGAGGGTCCCCACTGGGCCAGTAGTGCATCCTGTAGTGCAGCCTGCTGTGCTTGACTTGGCCCCGTGGCATCTTATACATTTAGAAGTTATTTCTCGAGGCAGGAAGACTGCTTGGGGCCGACAGTTTGGGACCATGCTGGGCAACAAGGCAAGACTTTGTCTCTACAAAGAAGAAAAATAAGTAAGCTGGCATGGTGGTGTGCATCTGTAGGCCCAGCTACACAGTAGTCTGAGGCAGGAGGATCAATTCAGCCAGGAGTTCCAGGCTTCACTGAGCTATGGTCATGCCACTACACTGCAGCCTGGGTGACAGAGTGAGACCCTGTCTCTAAGAAAAAGGGAGGCCAAGATGGGCAGATAACCTGAAGTTGAGAGTTGAAGACCACCCTGACCAACAAGGTGAAACCCCGCCTCTACTGAAAGTACAAAAATTAGCTGGGCGTGGTGGTGCATGCTTGTAATCCCAGCTATTCAGGAGGCTGAGGCAGGAGAATAGCTTGAACCTGGGAGGCGAAGGTTGCAGTGAGCTGAGATCGCACCACCGCACTTCAGCCTGGGCAATAGAGTGAGACTCTGTCTCAAAAAACGAAAAAAGAAAAAAACAAGGCTGGGCACAGTGGCTTATGCTTGCAGTCCCAGCTTTTTGGGAGGCTGAGGTGGGTGGATCATTTGAGGTCAGAAGTTTGAGACCATCCTGGCCAACATGGCAAAACCACGCCTCTACTAAAAATACAAAAATTAGCCAGGTGTGGTGATGGGAGAGGCTGAGGCAGGAGAATCGCTGGAACCCAGGAGGTGGAGGTTGCAGTGAGCCGAGATGGTGCCACTGAGCTCCAGCCTGGGCAACAGAACCAGACTGTCTCAAATTTAAGAAAAAGAAAAGCAAGTAGTTCCTGATGTTTGATATCTGGCCCTCTGGCTTCTCTTGGAACCCTAGAGAGAGTGGCAGCCTGGGCCAGCCTCCCCTTAGTGGGGGTCAGCACAGCTACCACTGTGAGCGTAGACACCGGCCTTCTCCTCGGCCTGTGCGCTCCTCCCCGCCCCAGCCCCAGCTGGAGTTTGCCCACCCAGCTTTATGTCTCCAGAGCGCAGCTGCTGAGGTTGGAGCCTCGTCTGAAATCTATAGGAAGATGCTGGCTTGGTTTGAGGTTTCCCAGAAGCAAACCCCAAGTCAAGGATGTGTGGGCAGCAGTGTATCTGGGAGGTGACCCTCGGAGATGGCTTTTGGGGGGAGTGAGGCAGGGCAGGGGGTGTTAGAGTGAGTCTCCCTGTGGGTGCCTGCGGTGCTCTGAGAAGCGGTACCAGCTGTGCCTCTGTACCATCCCCAGTGGGCGAGGGAGCTGGCATTGGGCAGTGGGAGCGGGGAGCGCCTCGTGGCATGTGCGGCCTGTGTGCGGGTGCAGTGTGCCCCAGCGGCCAGAAGAAGCCCTGGGACTGAGATGGGGGTGCAGCGGATGGGCTTCTGGTCATTTTGCAGCAGCATGTGGCTCCGGCCCAGGGCAGGTGCCCAGCATCCCTGCAGGCCTCAGCAGCGCCCCGACTGCCCGGGGCAGTGCCTCCATGGTCTGGGAGCACCGGTGCTGGGGCCCAGACATTGCAGAGCTCACGCCCTTGCTTTGCCTTGCAGCCGCCAGAGCAGCCGCCCTACCCGCACCACCAGGGCGGCCCACCCCACTGCCCGCCCTGGAACAACAGCCACGAGGGCATGTGGGGCGAGCAGCGTGGCGACCCTGGCTGGAACGGCCAGCGCGACGCGCCCTGGAACAACCAGCCCGACCCGGCCTGGAACAGCCAGTTCGAGGGCCCCTGGAACAGCCAGCACGAGCAGCCGCCCTGGGGCGGGGGCCAGCGCGAGCCACCCTTCCGCATGCAGCGCCCCCCACACTTCCGGGGGCCCTTCCCGCCCCACCAGCAGCACCCGCAGTTCAACCAGCCTCCACACCCCCACAACTTCAACCGCTTCCCGCCCCGCTTCATGCAGGACGACTTCCCCCCGCGGCACCCCTTCGAGCGGCCACCCTATCCCCACCGCTTCGACTACCCCCAGGGGGACTTCCCTGCCGGTGAGTGCACGGGCGCGGGGAGGGCCTGGCAGAGAGGCCCACGGGCAGGTTGGTGGCGCTGTTTGTGGCCCTGGCGTGATCCCGAGTGTGAGTGCACGGGGACAGGCAAAGGGTCGTGGGACGTCTGAGGAGCCCAGCCGGGTTCTCGGGAAGTGGGACATAGACTCAGCCTTGCCGCACTGATTAGGCCGGGCTGGCTACAGAGGTGGCAACTCCAATCCCCTCTTCCCAGCCGCACCAGGAATGCAGGCACTGTCTGTCCCTCGGCAGATGAGACAGATCTGACAGGGAAAAGGTTCTGGCCGTGGGTGGGCGTGGAGAGGGCAGGGCAGGGCTGGGCTGCTTATTTCTGCTGCTGCTTTCCTTTTGCATCAGTTTTCCGCTGGGCACGGTGACTCACGCCTGTAATCCCAGCACTTTGAGAGGCCAAGGCGGGCGGATAACGAGGCCGGGAGTTTGAGACTAGCCTAACCAACGTGGTGAAACCTTGTCTCTACTAAAAATACAAAAATTAGCCTGCACCTGTAATCCCAGCTACTCAGGAGGCTGAGGCAGGAGAATTGCTCGAACCTGGGAGGCAGAGGTGCAGTGAGCTGAGATCGCACCACTGCACTCCATCCTGCAACAGAG